CTAAATTAAGCAGACCTTGGTTTTAAGGATTTTTTCTGTTCAGCAGGTGAATAGAGACCCACAACAAGCTTTTCGATTATGGCTGAAGAAAAAGCATGAAGAGCAGATGAAAGAAAGGAAGACAGAGGAGCTCAGGAAGCAAGAGGAGTGTTTGTTCTTTCTGAGAGGAACCGAGGGCCGAGAGAGGGCCTTTAAACAGTAAGTTAACAAGCCGTGCAGTGTGCAGAAGCTAACACGGTCTCTTCATTAGCCTGAACACAGATCCCACTTCAGAGCTTTAGCCTTTGGGAAGATTGGATAATCCAGTGAAGGTTGATTCCACTTTTATGAATTTCCTCCTTCCCCCTCCCTCCTTCCTTTTCTTTCTTTCTATATATCTCTCAACCTTTTATTTAAAAAAAAAAAAAAAGGTAACTGTGTTTTGAAGAAAAGGACTATAGTTGCATCATCCAGAAATCTAATGGTGACTACTATTAGCACTAGAATGCCTGTCTTTTTTTTTTTTTTTTTTTTTTTTTTTTTTTTTTTGGTTTTTTGAGACAGGGTTTTTCTGTGTAGCTTTGGAGCTATCCTGGCACTCACTCTGGAGACCAGGCTGGCCTTGAACTCACAGAGATTTGCCTGCCTCTGCCTCCCAAGTGCTGGGATTAAAGGCGTGCGCCACCGACACCTGGCTATAGAATGCCTGTCTTCTAAATATTTCTTTGCAAACATATTCATAGTGAAAATATATATTGTTGTCAGATGGTGATGGTGCATGCCTTTAATCCCAGCACTCAGGCAGATCTTTGCAAATTTGACACCAGCCTGGGATACAGAGCAAGTTCCAGGACAACCAGGGATACACAAAGAAACCCTGTCTCAAAAAACCAATATATGTATATGTGTATACACACACACACACACACACACACATACACACAATGATCATATTGTTTCTAAAGTTTTACAACAGATAATTTGTTTAAAGTAAAGTAAAATGTAATTCATGACCCAAAAAATTTATTTTATTTTTCTAATAGTTGTTTGGGTTTATTTCTATAATATATATATATATATATTTCTATATATGTGTGTGTGCATATGTAATATATATATATATATACACATATATCCCATATGCACTTAAATACCAGATAGATATGTATAAAGTTAGCTCGTAAGTTATTTTAGCTAAGCCTAGGACTCCTTCTTTATTTGTTTTTGATGCTTAGGTTTCCTTTATCTTTTTCCTGCTTAGGCTCCTTTTTGATTTTGAGGAAGGGCTGCACAGGCTCCAGAATATCCCTGCTAAGAGAGAGGCAAGCAGTTTTGCATCTTGCTAATGTTTTTTTTAGCTGAACTATTTTGCAAGCTAATGTCAAGGAATATGGTATTTGGAGTATAGCAAATATTTTTAAAAGGGATAGGACTTATAACACGTGTAAATTCTTGTGCGTAATTACTACTAAGCCAAGTAAGTTGTCCATCTCATCAGACAAACCTAATTTCAGGCATTTGACCCAAGTGTAAAATGCTTTCTTATTTCCTGGGAAATAAGCCTGAAATGTTAATACTTTACCAATTTGTCTTTTGACCCCATTTCATTGTAGAAATGTTAATTTTTTATGTTTATAGATGAGAAGCTTATGATATGATATTCACCCTATCTGATCATACCTCTTTCTACAGATGGCTCAGAAGAAAACAGATAGAAAAAATAGCAGAACAACAGGCTGTCAAAGAGAGGGCCAGGCAGCTCCGGCTGGAAGCACGGCGCTCCAAACAGCTACAGAGCAACCTGTACAACATGCCAGAAGCTAAATCTTTCCGTTTTACTGACCACTACAACTGAAGCTGTCTGGGAAAGCATTTGTTTGAAGATGCTGTCACCAGAGTTTTGGATATTTCCCATGGATCCTGCATCTCGATAATACTGTAAATTGCAGAGTGGGATTTGTCTTTTGGTGATGCTGATGGTGAATTTATACTGTCTTCACACTAACACAAAATAAACGTCTCTCACAGTGTTGAATCTGTGTGCTGTCTTGTAGTCTGTTCAACAAACTGAACGACAAAGGGACTCCGAGTCTTACCTCTAAATTGTATTAACATTTCTACCCAGAAAGCCAGAAGAAAGTCATACATTGCTATTTATAGTTCCTATGATCATTGAAAATATTGGACCAGAGGGACAGTGAGATGGCTGTGGATAAAGGCATTTGCCACTAAGTCTAATGAACTGAGTTCAATCCCTGGCTCCACATGGTGGAAAGAGAACTAGCTCCTGCAAGCTGTCCTCTCTCTCTCTCTACACACACACACACACACACACACACTGGAACACATGTCCCGTATCCTCACCAGAAAATAAATGTAATAAACATTTAAATCTTTCAACAGAACATGTCATAAGGCTTAACGAATGACAAGTCTTAATCAAGGCTTTATACAAAATTCTCTTTCATCCAAGTTGAATTTTAGTGGTATTGACCTAATCAGTGCAAAACAAGTATCACCTGTTAGTACCATAGAAAGGCAACAACCTATCTTTTCTACACTTCTACTTTGTGCATAAAATATGCCTAATAGTGTTTGAAGTATGTTTTAAAATCATTCTAAATGTTACACAATAAAATCCTATGACCTCCATTTGTCTGACATGTGTGTGTGCATATATATGTATATATATATATACATATATGTGTGTGTGTGTGTGTGTGTGTGTGTGTGTGTGTGTGTGCTAGAAATACTACTATATATCTAGTAGTATAGAAGTATTATAATGTAGGTTAGCTGGGAAAGTAAGACCAAAAAAATTAGTGGCCCCAAACTTTTTTTCCTCCAATGTTATAAAGGTGAGCTTCATATAAAACTAATTCTTTTAAACCATTGTCCAACAGCATTTAGTGTATTCCGAAATTATACAGCCCAACTCTCTTCTATGTAGTTCCAAGATGCTTCCATAACTCCTAGTAGCCCATCCCTTGTGACCAGCCACTTTCAAGGCCACTTGCCCCACACGTCATCTGAGCAGATACTATGTGCTTCCTGTCTATGGATTTGCCTATTCTAGAAATCTCACATAGTTTAAAAACAAGTTTTATGTGTGGCTTCTTCCACTTAGCATAGTGCTTTGGAAGCTCATCCACAACATAGCATGCATGAGTATTTAATTCCTTTTTATAGAAGAGAACTTGTCTAACACTCATAACTTGGGGCATTTCCATCTTTTGGGTGTGGTGAGTAGTGTGGCTGTGAACATCCCATGGATACAAGTATTTAAGTGTTTTCTTTTGATATATGCTACAGGCAGGATGTAGTATATAGAATACTTACAGTTTGGTACTGTTCCCACAGAAGACACACCATTTTACAATTTCAATTAAAGACAGCCTAATTTCTACGTAGTCTCACAGATACTTAATAGATTTGCATGGTCCTAATGACCAACTATGTGTGGTTACTGGCCATTTGTGAATCATCTCTGGAGAAATAATTAAGTCATTCCACTACTGAAACTTTTATTGTAATTTTTACTTACTTATTGAGAATTCCATACATATACACAATGTGTTTTGACAATCTCTACCTCCCATCCAGTCCCTCCAACTCATCCTGAACTTCCCTTCTCCACATCTCCCTTCCAAATTTATGGACTCTCTCTTTTCATTTCTCATTATTACAAAGAGAAATAGGAGTCCAATAGGAGTCACTTTGTAATATTTCCACTCACTTATTATCGAAAAAATACGAATATTGTTTAAGTTATAAATGCCCCTTTCCTGCCCTTTTCCAGACCCTGGTACCAGTATTTGTCCTTTTGTATCTAACCTACTTCATGTAACATTTGTCTAAATTGTAGCATGCATCAACTGGGCATGAGAGATTGAATGTATTATCATATAGATGATGATTTTATTTACCTAACCATTGACATATCAAGATTATATCTAACTTTGGACAACCATGAACAACATTGCTACAAAAACTGGTGGACAAGAGTCTATGACAACCTCCAAGTTCTCTTGGCTATTTATCCACATAGGAGAAAGATGGGCCAGCTCGCATGAGCATGCATGGTAAGTCACACACACACCCCCCCCCACCTCCTCTCACCAGGAGCTTCCTGGCTGCTGCATTTTACATTCCTACTGGTAAAGCACAGAAGTTCCAGGTTTTTTCAGATTTGTCTACAGTTGCTGTCTTGCTTTCTTAATAGCCACCCTACTATTTTATTAACAGTCATCTTATCTACATGAAAATGGTAAGGATTGCATTTTACTCACTACTGATGTTGACAATCTTCCCATGTGCTTATTTGCTATTTGTATGTATATACAAATATGTGCGGATATTTTAGGTGGCTAAATAATTTGCTCATGTTTTTCAAGTGTGAGTGATACATGTACATGTGAGTGTATGCATAGAGAGGCTTATGTAGTAGGTATCTTCCTTTACCACTCTCCACCTTAAGGTTTGACATGGGATTTCTCACTTAGCCTAGAGCTCATCAATTCAGCTAGATGACTGGACTGCTCAGTGGACTCCACCCACCTGTTTCTGCTCCATGTGTGCTGGGGGTACAGATGTGCACAGCTGCACGCAGTATGCTATGTGGGTGCTGGCAATGTGGACGTGGGTTCTCAGCTTATGTTCTATAGACTGAGGCATCTCTCCAGCCTCTGCCCTCTTCTCACTGGGTAGGTGATTTGGTTATTGAATTGGCCATTTCTCAGATGTATAATTCATTCTTTTTTTCTTCTAATTCGTAGAGCTACTGTGTATCTCAATGCATGAACGTTTTAATCTTTAGTGAAGTTTAATTTTTCATTTCTTGTGCTTTTGTTGTTATACCCAAGAAATGACAGTCAAATCCGATGTCATGAACATTTCAGTTTTCTTCTAAGAAGTTCATATTATTCAAACAGAAAGGAAAAGGCAACAAAACAGCTATTAATAGTAAAAGCCACATGGTTGAAGCCAAAGTACATTATTCTGGAAGGAAAAAGGACTAAGCACAAGAGGGAAATACACAAGTTTATTGCCACTGAAAGCTATAAACATGACTCAGATGAGTCTGACAAGAAATAGCATGTTTGATACTAAAGTGTATTTTGATTAGGCCAGATTTGCCTTTTGAAGATTTCTCTGAATTTTTAAAATTCAGTATATTTTTTATGACAGATATTTGTGAATATTTAAAGGACAATGAAAGGGCATCTTATGCTACATTACAAATAATATATTACATAGAATATGTAAATTAATGGATTACATTTTCCTTAGACACTCATTTTCCATCATTATATTATCAAACCAGATACCCCTGTTGTGCTGCACATGTCATCATGAGTCAGTGACTAGGGATCTTTTTCCTTTAGGTTGTCCAACTACAACCATGCAGAAGACACAACACCTTGCAAAAAACAAACAGCATGGAACACTTTTGTTGAAGTATTTGTTGTAGCTCTAAAATATGTTTTTATTTTCCTAACGTATTTGTTTAGAAAGATTAATCCCTTTACCTGGGTTGTTTCTGAAGGCCTCTTTTTTATACCCTAAATGTGACCACAAAGGGAATGCAAATCCCTTTTTCCTGTACCCCAGTTATTACACTAGCAAACATGCCCTATAAAGGAATGGGCTTGCTAACCCCACACTGAACACTGCTGCAGTGCAGGGAAGCAGATTAGGTCACAGGAAAGTGATGGGCATGGCCACATCCAGCGCATGGTTGTAGTTGACCTGTTTTTGCTTTATGCACCAAAATGAAACCTGCTTATAGTTTATACAAAATATATAACAAAGAATAATAATTTAGTGCCTAAAAGAAAGTTACAAAATCTTTTTTAGTGTTTTAGCACAAACACTGTGAATTCTCTGGGAAGTACTTTAAATATGTCTACATAGCTTCACTTTTTCTTACCCTGAGACATTTCTTAAGAAAAATAATTTGGAAACTAGTACATGAAATATCTTTGTAGATATATATTATATAAAGATGAATTGGTTTTATTATCAGCATCATAAGAACCCCAGCTCCCAAATAAACCTTCAATATATGACACATTAAAGAGCAATGAGTTCTCCCTTGCAATGATTACAGCAATTGAAAGTTATATTTTCATATCTGGTATAGGGATGGAAACGTCCAATATTTTTCTTTGTAGTGAGTAATGTGGTTGGTGAAGATTCAGAAAATGGATTGTCCGGTGAGCTTTCTGTACAGGTAACGGGATCCAAAATACGTAGAACCTAAGCCAAAAGAAGTCATGTCAGATGTGCGTAACATGTAGTGTAAAGGTCTTGGGTTTCACTGACACACAACTACCTTCATTTTATTTATGGCACTATCACCAAAAATAACATCTGAATGAATTTGCATTCATCCTTCTGCCAGAACACTATAAGTCAGCAATGATGCCTAGTTATGACATTAACCACCTTTATTTTAGTAACTATGAAACGAATACTCTTTCACATATATCTATAGAAAGAATAAAAACAGAAAAATGAGGTTAATTACACTCTACTTTTAAAATTTAGCTTTTAACCCTTTTATTTTTATGGAACTTAGTTAAATGTTAGATGACAAGCAAAGACAGAAGGATGAATATTGCTTATAAACTTTGCAAGAAAAGACTGGTTTCTAAGTATGGCATATGCTACAACATTATGGGCCTTTTAATCGAAAACTAAAATGCTAAGGGGATTCAACAGGAGACTGAGAGGTGGCAGGAAGTTTAGACTTTAGCCTTCGGATGACAGGGGTGGATTTTCGGCCTTGCAGAGATCCTGCAACACATCATGGAGGAAAGAAATGGGTGGCCATTAAAGCAGACAAAGTCAGAACAGAAACGGTTACTGCATTTATTTCTGAAAGAACAGCTTCTGAAGCAATGGGGCTGGGAGGTCATGAGGCAGGCAAGGAGGAAGGGCAGCCGGTATTGTTACTTGAGGGAATGTGGCAGGGTAAAGACCAGAAGAGCCAGCAGATCTAGACCAGGCCTGGAGCACACCCAACGTTACACAATGAAGCAGAAGGCAGGACGGTGGAGGCTATTCACAGAAACCAAGGCAAGAGAAGTGTTTCGTGAATGAAGGAAAAGCCAGGTACACTGAAGGATACTGACAGCAGCTGAGTACACAGTGACATAAGCTCACGGCAAAGAAACAGTAGGAAAGAACAAACAAGGCTTTGAGTAGTTTACTTTTTAAGCACTAATCCTTTCAGTAAGTAGCTAAGCACCTACTATGTGCAACATCATACCAGTCCATGAGGAAACATATTTTCCGGCCTTTAAGTAGATTTAGAGAGAGATTCACACAATAACATCCTGCTCACAAGAGCTATAGGTGATATGCATACAGAGTACACTGAAAGCTTGGACAATAAGAAAGGTGATAGGAAATCATTTAGGCAGATGGACGAGCAGGCCTAGAAGGAGACGTGAGAAAAGCGGTCTATCTGTGAAATGAGAAGTGAGTAATGCTGCTGGAAGAGGAATGGAACTTGGGAAGTGACTCCTGAGAAGGGGGATGGAAGGAAAGATTATGATGAACCTTCTATGCTCTAGGAAAGAATTCAGTCAGGGAGGCAGGAGTAGGAGCTGCTTGATGACTGTATTGACATTTGTAAGACAACTCTCTGACAACAGAGGACGATGGCTTAGAGGCAAGAGTTAAGGACTCTGAGTAAGTGATGTGTAAGTACAGGTATGTATACATTTTCCAAGACTCCTGGCTGAGATGGAAGGTAGTTTTCTCCTTAGAATAGAGTAGTACCATTAGGAAATTTAAGGGTCAGAGGAGGAATCTGCTCTAAGACTACAAGCTTATAATGTGGAAAACAAATCGAGGCTCTACATTTCAAAACTGCCAATGCCAAATAAGCATAACACACAGCTTTCAATAAGGGGCCAACACAATCTCACAGCTCATCACACTCACGCCACAGCTCAGGAAGAGCAAACAGGTTACCTTTTCAGCCATTTTCTCAGCTGGGGTACTGAAGAAGTCTACTGGTGCTGGAATCTTCTTTTGATTACTGATGCCAACATTTCCCAGAAGATGAGCATGCACAGCCTCTGCCAACTTGTGGTTTGCAAGTGCCAGCCCTGCTGTGCTGTGGGGCTGTGTGTTGGGGAAGTGCGTCTGCTCCCTTCCCCACTGTAAGGAGACCAAGAGTTCCTCCAACAACCTGCACAGAACACATGTGAGCAACGGACACTGATAAAGACAAAATATCAGAAGCAGTACGAGGAAAGAAGTGAGCAACATATTTCAGCAGTCATTTAACATCTCTGCTCAGAGTTCAAGTTTCAGGCTGTCTGGTCACATAGGTTATAGGGCATAAGACACTGGCTGATCTACTGCTACGCTGTTACCTAGAAATCATGAAAACAAGTAGCACAGTTTAATCACATTTGGTTGTTGATGTCTGGATGCTAACTCAATCTCCAATATCTGGAGTTTACTGGTCATATTATATAAACTATTTTCTACATTGTTGGATTTGGTCCACTAATATTCTATAAGGATTTTTACATCCATGTTCATCAACGATAGAAAGTCTACTGGTTGTTGCTTATGTCTCTAGTTTGTTATCCCAATGTTCGCCCCCAAAATGATTTGGAAATTGTTCTCTTTTCTTCTATGCAATAGAAGAACTTGTGTACAATTGTGTTTCTTTCTTCCTTAGATGTTTAATAGCATTCAGTGGATTCATCCATTTAGGCTAGACTTTTCTTCACTCAGTTTTTAACTACAACTTCAATTGCTTTAATGGGTTAGGGCTATTACTTACATCTCAATTTTTGTGATTTATTTTAAAATTATTTGTGTGTGTTAGGTGTGTACATGAGTGCAGGTGCCCGCAGAGCCCAGAAGAGGACGTCAGATCTCCAGGAGCTTAAGTTACAAGTAGTTGTAAGCTGCCCAGCATGGTGCTGAGAACTAAAATCAGGTCCTCTACAAAGACAGCATACATTCTTACCTGCAGAACTATCTCCAGCCCTCCTATACCTGTTTTTAAGTGGCCTCTGGAAATATGTCTTAAGCTTATCTAAATCACTGACTTGATTGGCTAGAGGTATCAATAACATTCCCTTATTATCTTTGCCTGTCTACTCAATCTATTGCGTACAGGCTTTCATCTCCAATACTCAATACTCACTGTCTTTCCTTGGTGGATTGGCTAAAATTTTTTTGTTACTTATTTATTCTTCTCTCCTACAATACCACCTGACTGCAGCCTTCCCTCCCTCCACTCCTCTCAGTTCCACCACCCCCCACCCCCACCCCGCCTTTTCCCAGATCCAATGATCCTCTGTTTCCCTTCAGAAAAGAGCAGGCCTCCCTGTGCTGTCAACTAGACTTGGCACAAACCCTTACATTAAGGCTTAATGGGGCAACCAGGTAGGAGGAAAAGGTCCTAAGGGCAGCCAAAGAGTCAGAGACACACCCACTCCCTCCAAGCTAAACAACCACAGCATGTATGCAGAGGACCTAGCACAGGTGATCGCCACTTCAGGGATACACATATCTTAAGTTTAACTTTTTAAAAAAAGTTTTATCAAAAAATTGTTTTAGTTATTATCATTAGTATTCTTTCTCACTTTTGTATAATTTGGGTTCAATTTGCTTTTGTATTTCTTGTAGTAATAACTTAAATTACTAATAAGACTGCTCTTATTTTGCCAAATAAACCTGCCTTTTTAAAAATATCTCTTTAAAGATAGGATCTTACTACATAGCCCAGACTGGCCTGGAATTCAGGTACTTCTGCCTCAGCCTCCTGAGTGATGGGATTACAGGTATGCACTATCACAGACAGCCTGAAGCAAGCATTTCCCTTGAAACACTCCCTTAATTGCCTCTAACAAATTTCTATACTTTAATATATATTGCTTTACTCTTCTAATTTCCCATATAATTACATAAAAGTACAAAGACTTTTAAGAAACACTGCCAATGTGTTTATTTATTATTATTATTTTTAAAGATTTCAGCCTGTTAGTTCTGGAATGCAAAGATATGCAGACATGATCTAATACTGCAAAACGACTTCAAAAATCTCTCCCGTGGGAGCAACTGATATGTCACTCAGCTTCTACCCAAACTCCACAAAACCACCATAACCATACCCAAGAATTACTTTTAAATGCAGAAACACCCTTCTCACAGATCTAATAATTCTTTTTCCTATTAGGAATGTAAGATACAGCACCATCTTTTCTGTTTTTAGGGCTCCTTCCTTTTAGAGCATATATTTTAAAGTGTGACTTACAGTATATAGTCAGTATGTTAAAAAATGTGGCCACACTGAAACAAACAATCCAACAAAACCTTTCACAACAGGGAACCCTGCTGGAGATGACAGGAAAGTTCAGAATGCGAACAAGAGCCGTACTTCTGGGTAGAGATCATTTCCTGGCGAAACTGCTCCCGTTCACTCAGGAGATCCTGTATGGCACTCTGGGCATCTCGGTTTTGACGCTGTAAAACTACTCTGAAGTTCGTTAATTCGTCCGCCATTACCCTGAAAAAGATGAAATCTCACACACAGTTCCATAGTACCACAGCACTCGGAAGTTAATCTCCTGCCACTCTGTAATTGTCAGTTTCAAAAGCTAACGGCAGGAAGTAAGATGTTTGCACAGGTTACTAAAAACACTTTAACTTGCAGAGCTTCTGAAGCAGTGTCAGTTGAAGAGTTCTTAACTTTTTTATATAGTGACTTTACACCAATGTTATATAGTGAATTTATACCAATGTTACTCTAAATTGATCAGTTTAATATTACAGGTACACTTCTAACAGTAAAAAATTGAAAGGAAAAGAAAAAGTAAATTATTTTTCTCACTACTCAATTGTACTTTCAGAAAAATACTGAAAACTTTCTATAAAACAAAGTAGTCTTCCCCCTGCTAAGCAAGCTCAGTCTCCTTTTACATAGTTTCTTATTTTCCAAAAAAATATTTTAAACATATTTCAATCAAATATGTGGAAAAGTGAATATATGGAATGTGTTTACTAGGAGGAAAAATTTATTATGAAGTTTGCTACACCTTGCTTTATTTTTTCACCATAAGGACCTACCTAGTACTCAACGACTAGAAAAACACCATAGATACACTGCATGAAGAAATACTATTCTATACAACTTATTCACAATCAGAGGTTCTTCACAGCCTGGAGACCTTAGGTATGTTGAGAGAAATCTCCAGATGATTCGTTTTAAATCAGCAGTTACTAAACACATGAAGTTCTGCTGGTGCACATGGTGTTCTGAGCAGTTTACTGTTACCCTGACGTGAGTTAGTTATCTGAGAAGTGGGAACCACAATTGAGAAGATGCTTCCATAAGACTAGCCTATAAACAAACCTGTGGGGGCGTCACACTGTTTCATCACAGCAGGAGAACCCTAAGACAGACAGACAGTGTCTCAAACATGTTCCTATTAATGCAAAAGTTGACTGGAGGAGGGGACAAATGGACAAAGAACCAACAAGATACACAGCAGGATTTCCCAAGGACCAGCACGTTCAGAGGCCTGAACTATATATATAGCCTTGTGGCTTTTTACATGTGTGAGAGTTGCCTCATCATATATGGCATAACATGAAACAATTTAAATGAAACAATTCTCTGTTTATATACGGAGAGAAGGGAGCTGAAAAGCTCTTTGCATGGATAAAAGAGCTATGAGAACAGAGCATGCCGGGAGGAGAACCCTGTCCTAGGAAGTAGAAAGGAGGTTGCTTTCTCCAGGTAGGAGGGGGAGGATTTACACCTGCCTTTTGTGACTGTAACATTCCCATGTTTGATTTTGCAGCTGTGTTTGTTTCCTGTAATAAGAGTCAGTTTTTCAACAAAGGGCACATCTATCACCTCTCTAAGAGACTGTGTGGCCCTCCAGAGGCTGAGTGCTGCACATTAAATGATGTATGAAGCACTCTGACAATCTTCAGTCAGAAATTTCACTATTGTTTTGTTATGAGTCAAAAAAGTGACAGACAGAACAAACAATAGAGAATCTAATACTATTTACAACAGAAAAAGACCTGCTTGCGAGGAATTTGCTTCTCCACACATCACACTGTATTGACATCCGTTCCAGCTGTTCAGAAAGCTGGGCTGTGTTTCGACCTAGTGCTTCGTTTTCTAAGATGAGCTGGTTCTTCTCCCGGGCTAGACGTTCAAAGTGATACTGTGGGTCATCTCCAACAGAAGCCACCAGCAACTTTTTTAACTCACGATTTATCTAGGATGAAAGAAGACAACCAGACAAAAAGCTTGAGAAATGGCACTGATTTGATTGTAACAAAATTATGTCCTTTGTAGCCTATTTTTTTTGTCTTATAATTATTCCTTAGAAGCCTGTTCATTTTCTAATGAGAGACAGAAACAGGGTAGATACAAATTGGTGAGGGGTGGGGAGAGGAGGAACTGAGAGGAATAGAGGGAGGGGAAACTATAATCAGGATATATTATGCAAAAAAAGAAATCTATTTCCAATAAAAGGAGAAAATTAAGAAAAGAAAAATACCATTAACCTATACAGATAATTATGCAGTTATATCTAGCAAAAATACTTGGAACAAATTCTTCAAACAAGGACTGCTAATTTGTCAATGGCAAAGATTGACTTGGTCAGTTATGAATGTAACCGACTTCTACAACCTAGAGGTGGTCTTATTTAAAGCTCCTCACCCCTCCACTTCCACCATGTCTAGAGTCTGAGTTCTTAACACAGATTCTTTTTAGAAAGAGGCCCTTCGGCAGAATGAGAAATTAAAGAGGAAGCATTTTAGAGAAACGACAACCCATGATAAATGACGTTTCTCAGGAAACGCACTTTCCTAGCACAGAATTAAAAGGTCCAGAGGTAAAGATTGGAGCTCACTGAAGCTATGAGCTGTGCTTACCTCTGTCTGTACTCGGAGTTGGTTTGAAAGGCCTTCTTTGTCCTGAAGTAGCCGCCTTTCAGAATTCTTGAGTTTTTCTAAAACCTTCTTTGCCTCTGAGAGTTCCTTCCTGGGGTCTGTAACTACCTCTGGCTGAGGGTGGACTTCTTCTCGGTGATAGCCTAGAGACTTAAGCTTTGCATTTTTGCTGGGGATGTCATGAGTGATGGCAGCTTTGGGGACAAATATCCTCACAGCGTCCACTTCCACTGCTTTTTCAGTAAGAATCTTTCCGAGCTGGAGCACTCCTGGGCTGTCGGAGGGAACTTTCTTACGTGGACTCTGAAGGACATGCTGATTTACAGGCTGCACTTCAGAGGTGACTTCAACAGACTTAGGGGGCTCCTCTGTTTCCATTCCATCTCCTGCTCCTCTGATTGGGGTCGAAGTGAGGATGCCTAAGGAGGAAGTCAAGCCAAGGACAATTTACCAAAGACATGATAAGAAGATGCTATGACTATTTGTTACATAGCAGTTCCCTCCAAACTGAAATACTCCGTTCTACAGGGAAGCTCCATAAGCCAGAAGGGAAGCAACTCAAAACAGCTTGGGAAGCCCCTGAAAATGACCAGACTCACTAGGCCCCTCCATTCCAATAGTAAACCATAAAGGTAATTCAGAGTCCCTCTCAGAGGAGCCAAGCCAAGACAAGAGACCAGAGCAGCTGCCTTAAAAAAGCAGAAACCAGCCAGGCTGCCTGCAAGAGGCTTACAACAACCGAGGGATCTGGAAAAACACTCTCCAACCTGTTGACCTGCCTACAGGCTTCGTGTGCAGTGTGCTCCAGGTTCCCCGCTTTGGGGAGCTGTCACCTGTGCTGGGGTGTGGCCTTTGGTGATGCAGCTGTCTTTGAGTCATTTCTGTTCCTGTAAGTAAGCCCAATAAAACTGACTGGTTACCAAGAAGGGCTATGGTAGTGTCCTTCTTGGCCTGTCATGGGCTTCCTATTTGGAGTAAGTAGGTGTGTGTTACATCTTTCCATGAAAAGTCTTGCCAAACTACACTGCTTTGCCCTCTGTTCTAAGGTATCAACTGCAAAGGGAATGGAAAGAAAATTGCAGAGTAATTTCTAAAACATCATGGGTCAATGAAAGATGAATAAAGACTTATGTGCTTAAAATTTCCCTAAGTAAATGACTCCTTTCTTAGTAGAAAATTTGTTTGACTTCTATTTTGTAATATAATCCAAGAAAAACAACTTTCTTCTATTGATTTCTATATTGAGATTTTTGAAATGGAAATAGTAACAGCCAGGCCATAGGGTGGTGATGAGCAGGAATGTAATAAAATCAACTCCTGATGCATTATTGATACTCAATGATGTTAAATATAACAATATATCAGCTATCTATGTCCCTCACTAGAGCTTCATCTGTATTCATGCTTTACACAGGGACAGAGAAGAGCATTGTGTATGTTACACTGGAAAACTGCTTAGGAAAAGCATCTTATTCTTACACCTAAAGGGTAAAAATTAAACTAGTGAAACTGTTTGGGCTGTGAGACTAAACTCTTAAGCCTCACTTTTATCATCTTTACATTATCTTTCTGGGGTCATATGCCCTGTGTGGTTTTTCAATTTATTTTACATGCATTATGATTCTAGTAAAATGCCTTGTATGCTCTATTCAATAGATACATGGATAACAATAAATTCATAATATACAGCAAGGACAAAAGAACATACTAGTCAGTAGCAATGGCTATAATGATGAACTGCAAGAGGTCACACACAACATAGTACTAGGCAAGTAAAAAAGGCCAGATGTTTTGTGAGACAGTGTGGACCACTGTGCTTAAGATGCTATCTAGTATAGAAATAGGGCACACACACACACACACACACACACACACACACACACACCCTAAGGCATGCACACATGTGATAACATGGGTGCTGGGACTTAGCAGTAGAGCACATGCTTAATAAAAGTGATGTATGAATGAGCAGTGTTTTGACTACACAACTTTTGAATTTTTTTTTAAATAAACTTCCAGTTAGATGTAATAGTGTATACCTATCATCCCAGCATTTGGAATCTGAGGCCAGGGCAGTTAGTTTGAAGCCAGCCAAGGCTGATAGTAAGAGCCTGTCTCAAACAAAAAGAAAGAAAGAAACAAAGAAAGAAACAAAGAGAGAAAGAAAGAAATTAAAAAGCAGTGACAATACATATGAGGCTTGGGCTAGATCCCCAGAAGTACAAAATACAGCAAAACAACAACAAAAACCCAAAAACCCAAAATCAAAACAAACAACCACAGAAGAAATAAATATATAGCACAGGACTTAGGGGTCTAGTGAAGATCTGAATTGTCAAACAGCCTTTCAAAAGTCACTATACTAGCCAGCATCAGTAGGTCTATTTCCTGTATTTTTCCATTTGCTTGGCTTTTGCATGTTGCAAACAGCACATGTAAGAATACACGTGAGGCACTGAGAATGGCGGTGGACACAGTAAGCGTTCATTAAGTGTTCTTTTATTTTGGTTATCGTTCTTTTATGAAATCTAATAAACTTTGGCTACTGACAATGTGGAGAAGGAAAGTCTACTTAATATCACTACACATGATTCTGACTTTCATTCTCTTATACTAGGGTTAAAATTACACCACTGGAATATAAGACATTTCATTTCATAGATTTGTTGTTCTCTTTTGTATCTATCAATGTACTGGGACTTGAGCTACATCAAACAAAAGAAGGCATTTGGGGGGCGTAAATTGTATTCTATCTCACAAAATATTTCATATTAGGATAAAATCATGCCATTTTAATATGTGATACAAACTGAAACACCCTCATGGCTTTGGAACTAATTTTTGAAGTGATAAACAAAGGAAGATTTCAGAAAGTGAGACCGGGGTTTGGTATTAAAGGATGTTGGAAAACAGCAGTACTTTACAAGGAGAATGTACACAACCCTTTAAAAAGAAAGACCCACTGGTGTATGAATGTATGTAGACACGGCCTTACTGTGTAGCTTAAGCTGGTCCTGAAGCTAGTATGTAGCCCAGGCCAACCTCTACCTGGAGTTCTTCCTGCCTCCACCTCTTGGAACAGCACCGTGGGTGACTTGTTTTCACATTCTTGAAATTTGGTTTTAGGTTTGTCCAATTTTATCAATGTATTTCATTTTGTTAATTGTCTTGTTTCTAGCATAGAATATAGAATCATATATTAACTGTAAGCTAGCAAAAATAATAAATTTACCACTAAGGTCACACCTTTCCAGCCCACTGAGGTTGGCCAATAAGAAGCAGGTGTGATACTTTGGTTATTAAATACTGTTATGTAAAGGAAAAATTTAAGTAAAGGAAGTTCAAACAATAGGGATTTAAGGACATATAAAAAATTTGTTAAAAGGCAAAGAAGCAATGTATATTTGACAGATAATTTTTTTCAAACAAAGCATTCAAAATTCCAGTTAAGAATTTCAACCAACTTTCAACTCCAATTTACTCTTAACTTTAAACTGTTCTACTTACTTACGAACTCATGACTATCATAAACAACTCATCGGATCTTGTTATCATGAAGCTGAGCAGACAAGAGCCAGGGCTTTGCATTTTCTTACCTTTCATATTTTCTTACCATTCTATTTTTCCCAGTGACACACATAGAAACCTTTATTACATATGTACTAGGCCATGCAGGGCACATTCATGAGAAGTTACATCCTTCAAGTTCTCAGACAAAAACCTGTGGCACCAACTCTATAATTACGAATAATGATGAATAAAGCAAAGCCTCAATCTTTGTTCTCCATTCCTTGAAGGGAAGCACCAGCATCCCTGTATGATTGCCTCCCTTACACCTGTAATCATGCATTAATCAACCTAAACAGATTTAAGGTTTATGTTTTTTTCACACTGGCTTTCCAGGGACTGATGAAATGTGAAAAAAAAAAAAAACAGCAAAATCACTAGTCTAACATTCTATATAGGGACTGGCAAACTTTTTCTGTAAAAGGCCAGAGATGATATATTTTAGGCTTCTGGGATGATGATGGAAAACTGAAGACAGTCTCCAGGTACTTACATGAGAAGACAAAGCCAAATTTTTAATGATGAAAGAAACTTTGGTAAAGCAGATGAGAAAAACAGAATTCATTTTTATTCAGGATAATAATTGATTTACATGGGATTCAGTTACTGTTTATACTCATTAAATGGCCATAATTTACCAATTTTTGTTTTAGATTATGGAAGGAAAGAGCAAGGTTTAGAGGACATCACTGAACAAATACTTCCGTTATTAATGACAGTGTAAATCTATGAGGACAGTACTTCAAGTACTTCTGAGCCAAGATAATACTAAGTTCCATGGCAGTTTGTGGTACAATCTGAGGCCAGTCATGAACATCACCTCCTTCTGTCACTTGGAGCTTGGGGAATGCTGTAAGTACTATAGTATTTCAGAAAAATCTGTTTCTCTTCCAAAGTAGATTATTGGAAGCTACTTCAGTTACAGATATCTCTTACCATCTCTTCTCAACAACTAAAGAAATATGTTTGGTATAAAAAAGAAAAGTAAGTAAGTGCTTAGTTAATGAAGTCAAAAACTTGGTTTCCCCCTCTACACTAAATCACTAATTCTTACTTCCATTATATTCTAGTCTGACAGACTCAGGAACACACATAAATTAAAACAATAGAATAGTTAAACGATGGGGAATGTACTGTGTGTGTTCATCTTATTGACTGTTGAATAAAGTACTGTTTGACCAATGAGGCAGCAAGTTAGATGGGACTAGGAGTCAAAGAGGATTCTGGGAAATGCAGTAGAGAAGTGGTGATCCAAGCAGGAAGTGACATAGCAAGGAGACTCATATTTAAGCAAGGACAAACAGGAAGTGGTCCCTTTCCCCCTCCACTCTTCCTCCAGATTGGCAATGTGATCCACCGGCAATTGAGGACACCAATGGAAGTCGTCCGATAAGTCTTATAAAATATATAGATTTATGATAATTAAGACAGAGTTAGCAGATGAGAAATTCTAGTCATTGGCCAAGCAGCATTTGTACCTAATATAAGTCTCTGTATTATTTTGTCCATCCACGTGGCAGGCAGAACTCCCAAGTAGCTGGAATTACAAGACTGGGCCACCAGGCCAAGCTTTAATGTTCTTTTAAATGTCACCATTATCACCTAGTAAAGTTTACTTATTACATTGGAAAAATACGCTATAGACAATCAGGTTGATGTTTATGACGGGTGATAGCTAGACCTTTCCTCTATAGACTCTGGATAAATAGTTGCCTGGTCAAATGTGTGCTTGTACTCATGCATGATGTATGTCCTCAGGAGTTTCACAGTACACACCAGTGCTCTAACATCACTGGGAAGCGCTATAGCCAGTTCAACCCAGCATTTCCAAACCCATTTGCTCACAGAATCATTTTTACCCAATCTTTATGACACTATAGAATTAAAGTCAGATAATGTTTTAGGATTTGCAACTATTTAAATGTCTAAGAACTTACGATCTGGTTACTAAACTGTAACAGCTACATTTTAAATGTAGAAAAGTCTATAATTTTAATTAAATTGTTTATTTTAGGTTTGCTTTTGAGATGACCCCTAGTAATAGCAATCCACCCCTCCTGCGATGGCAGTGCTGGTCACATGTTTGGTATACTAAGCAATCAAATTTCTCTCCTGAGGCAGTTAAAGGAAACCCAGACAACCGACAACATCAAATATAGGCATTCCTTTTCTTGGGCCATGAAGCACAAACATCTTTTTCACTAACAGCAGTTACATTATAGTAAGAATAGAACAAACAGTTGTATTACCTGCCTTACTCAAGATAAAATGAAATGACATGAAGATGCTTTTTTTTTTTTTCTGAAACAGGGTTTCTCTGTATAGCTTTGGAGCCTATCCTGGCTAATATCAATATTTTTAAACCTTCTGCCACTTCTGCTCTCAGAACTTCAATGACTGATTACTTAATAGAAACAATTTACATATCTGTCACTATCCTAGATCACATTTCTTGTAATTCAGACTCTACAGTCCACTCCCATTTACATATAGGTGAGAGTCAAAGCATATCCCTAAGTAAACTCCTGAATTAGTATGCTCTGGGCCAGCAACAGTTCTCTAAAAGGGAACGTCATAGGAAGGAGATTTCTAGAGGGTGAAATAGGAGGAAACAGGAGGCAAAGATCATGCTAATAGACAACTGCATCTAATTTATTGGTACAGCAACAGGTTGCCTTGCTGGAAGACTTGTATAGAATTAGAATAAGCAGGTGGGAGACTGGTGAAAGTTATAGACTGGGAATGAATGGCGAATAAGAGAAATTTAATGATAGTATTGTTAAAGCAACTAATACACTTGGCCAAAAGCAAAAACTAAATGCGGTATTGCAATTACTTATTAAACTTTGCTGTGAAAGGCTCCTGGGTAATGACAATAATTTTTATTGTTTGTAACAAAGATTGGAGTTAAAAGCATTTTCACCGGGCGTTGGTGGCACATGCCTTTAATCTCAGCACTCATATATATATATATATATGTATATATATATGTATATATATATATTATTGATATTGGGGGCTAGAGAGATGGCTCAGTGGTTAAGAGCACTTGTTGCTGTTTCAGAAGACCAGGGTTGCTGTTTCAGAAGACCAGGGTTTGATTTTCAACACCCACAAGATGGCTTACAATCATCTATAACTCCAGTTCTAGGGAATCTGGTGCCCCCACCACCACCTCTTTTGGGCTCTGTGTACCAAGGACACTTGTGGTGCACATATATCCACACAGGTAAAACACTCATACATATCCATTTTAAAAAGACATGTAAAAGACAAAACAGGGAGGGGACTGAAGAAGAGACAAGATACAAGTAGAGCAGCACTGTACGAGGATTTTCTTTAACGCTGGAAATGTAACAGTGAAGTGGCACATTTGTTATTGCGAAGCTTGGTCTGCAGATAGTTTGTAATTTTAAAAATGTTAATTTAAATCCCCACTTCCGGAGATGTGGCTACTACATTAGACACAATGTATGCTGTAGAGCTACAATGTATGCTGAAAATAAAACTGGCATCATGAAAGTCATGGAAGAATTTCAAAAGATGGAGAATGATCAATGGCGGATTAAACATTACAGAGGCAAAGCAGAGTGGGACTCAAAAGTCACTACTTTATACACCAAGCACTATGGGTAGAACAGGACCCCCAGATTTTTGTTATGTTAAAGGTCTAGCCCCTGTGTGACCAATTTTTGGAAATAGCTAATATAAACCCAGTTAGGAATCAGTGTCAATGACATAAAGAGACCTCAAACACAAATAATTCTCAAGGAATTTGTGCGACTTAGTAACCTGTCTAAAGAATCCCTTCAAATCATGATAAATTTCATGTTCTTAAAAAAATAAAAAGGCCAGGCATGTCTTCAATCCCAGCACTTGGGAGGGGCAGGTGGATCTCTGTGAGTTCCAGGATAGCTAGGGCTACACAGAGAAACTCTGTCTCACTGCCCCCTGTCCGCCCTGAAAAAACCTCCAAACCCAAAATTGTCAAAACAGGAACACTTACCTTTGGTTTCCAAGGTCTTAATGGTAGCCATTTTTGGTTTTTGTAGCTAACGAAAATGCACTCCAAGACTTTCACCAAAGACCTAGAAATGTATACATATTAAAGAATTAAACCAATATATTCAGTAAGTGCCTCTACTTTAAAAGTCATATTTTAATTGTCTCTGCCTTTAGTACTCACACATTTAGAAACGGAGCCACTCCTCATTATCTCCTTTTGACAGGCGGTCCTTTATATCTACTAATACTGGAAAATCGGGCATAGGTTTATGTATTCTTCTCTAGAAGAATACTGTGGAGTACGTGACGAGTGTCTTCACCACACGTCCTCAGAGATGTAATACTGTTCCTAGCATTACATACGACTAAGAACAGGGTCTAACTTCCCCCAACACCACAAATCCTCGCTCTGAAAACATATCCCAAGACCCCTCCCAAGAGCAAACCGAGATCAAAAATGTCAGAAACTTCTCTGGGAAGATGCGATGCAGAACAGCGAGTGTGGCAGTCTAGAAACACCGGGTGACGGTGTGGGGAGCCTGAGTTTAAAGGGGGCTGGGGGTGGGGTGGGAGCATCAGG